AGCAGCCAGTCAGCAGAGAAGGCTACTGCAGACAGGCTGCTTTACCATCCCCACCACCCACAGGGCCCTGTAGCCTACAAGTCCCACTCCACCCCTACAAACCCATGGAACCCATCATCTCCCCCATTTCTGCCAACCATTCCCCAAGGCATTAGTGGCCCAGAGGCACAGACACCATCTGCACAGATTGGAGGAAGAATCAACACCTGTATCTATAATTACCCCAAACCCAGATGGGTAGACGGCAGTGTAAGAATACATTCAAAAAAATAAAAAACAACATAGCACCACCAAAACCTAGTGGTTCTACGACAGCAAGAACTGAACATCCCAACACAGATGAAATAGAAGAAAACAACCTTAAAAATAGCTTTAAGATGATGATAGAGGCCCTTAAAGAGGAAATGAAAAATTCCCTTAAAGAAATGGAGGGAAAGATGAACAAAAAAATTGGGAAAAAATCAATAAAGCCCTTAAAGAAGCCAATAAAAACAATCAAACAGGTGAAGGAAACAATTCAAGACTTGAAAATTGAGATAGAGACAATAAAGAAGACACAAACCGAGGGAATTCTGGAAATGGAAACTGTGGGTAAAGAAACAGGAAAGAAATCAAAGACTACCTAAAATTCAATGAAAATGAAGGCACAATGTACCCAAACTTATGGAACACTATGAAAGCAGTGCTAAGTGGAAAGTTCATAGCACTAAGTGCCTACATAAAGAAGTTGGAGAAATCTCATACTAGTGACTTAACAGCACATCTGAAAGCTCTAGAACCAAAGAAGCAAACTCACCCAGGAGTAGACAACAGGAAATAATCAAATTGAGGGCTGAAATCAATAAAAAAGAAAGAAAGAAAACAATACAAAGAATCAATGAAACAAAGAGTTGGTTCTTCAAGAAAATCAACAAGAAAAACAAATCCTTATCCAAACTAACCAAAAGACAGAGAGAGAATATGCAAATTAATAAAATCAGAAATGAAAAGGCGGACATAACAACTGACACTGAGGAAATTCAGAGAATCATTAGGTCGTACTTAAAAAATCTGTGTTCCACAAAACTGGAAACTCTAATAGAAATGGATAATTTTCTGGATAGGTATCACATACCAAAACTAAATCAAAACCAGATTTTTTAAAAAAATATTTATTTATTTATTATATATACAATATTCTGTCTGTGTGTATGCCTTCAGGCTAGAAGAGGGCACCAGACCTCATTACAGATGGTTGTGAGCCACCATGTGGTTGCTGGGAATTGAACTCAGGACCTTTGGAAGAACAGGCAATGCTCTTAACCTCTGAGCCATCTCTCCAGCCCTCAAAACCAGATTTAAATAGACCTATAACCCCTGTGGATTTAGAAGCAGTCATTAAAAGTCTCCCAACCAAAAAAGCCCAGGGTCAGATGGTTTCAGCACAGGATTCTACCAGATTCTCAAAGAAGAGCTAATACCTGTACTCCTCAAATTGTTCCACACAATAGAAACAGAAAGAACTTTGCCAAACTCTTTTTATGAGGCTACAGTTTACCCTGCATTCCAAGTCACACAAAGATACAGCAGAGAAAGAGAATTACAGACCAATCTCCCTCATGAACATTGACGCAAAATTACTCAATAAAATACTGGCAAACCAAATCCAAGAATACATAAAAAATTATCCACTATGATCAAGTAGGTTTCATTCCAGAAATTCAGCGATGGCTCAACATACAAAATCCTGTCAATGTAATCCAACTTATAAACAAATTGAAAGAAAAGAAACCACATGGGTGGGTAGGAGGTAGAGGGAGGGGAAAGGGAGGGAGAGGGAAATGTGGTTGGTATGTAAAAGGAATAAAAAATTAAAGAAAAAAACAGAAATCAAATGGAAAGAATGATTTAATGCATTAGAAAAAGAATAGACTGAACTAAAAGCTAGCAGTTGAATGAAAATAAGGATTATGGTAGAGATAAAAGCATTTTTTAAAAAAGCAATCAAGAGTCAACCATAATTGATTCTCTAAAAACCATCAACAATTTTTTCTAAAAAAAAATCTTTAGCTATAGTAAAGTAACTGTGGCAAGGGAAGGAGAGAAGGAGGGAGGGAGGGATGAGGGAGAGACAGAGAAAGAATAAACTGGGGTATATAGAGGTAAAAAAAATCAGAACAAAGTGAGAAATCACTATCAACATTCAAGACATTTCAAAGGGTTATGGCAATACTATGAGTTACTGTATACCAATAAATTTGGTAAGTTGGATGAAATAAAACCACATCTGAATGGTCCTTGAAAAAAATGCAGAGATTAGATCAGTATCCAAAACCCTCTAACAAAGAAAGTTCAACACCTTGGGCTGAAGAGATGGTATAGCAATTAAAAGCACTTGCTGGCCAGGTGGTGATGTCACACGCCTTTAATCCCAGCACTTGGAAGGCAGAGGCAGGCAGATCTCTATGAGTTCAAGGCCACCCTGGTCTACTGAGCGAGTGCCAGGACTGGCTCTACAGCTACTGAGAAACCCTGTCGCAAAAAACCAAACACACACACACACACACACACACACAGCACTTGCTGCTTTTACAAAGAACATAAGTTGCTTCCCAGTATACATATGTTAGTTTCCTAACTGTCTATAATTCCAACTCTAGGAGATCCCATACCCTCTTCTGACTTTCATACATACCAGGTATTCACATGTAGCAGACACATACATGAAGGCAAACACTTACATACATAAAATAAAAAAAAATATATCTTGGAAGGGGGAGCACTGATGAAGTGTACCAAACAGTTAAAAAGGAATTAACAATCTTTCTTAAATTCTTCATAAACTATTGGAAATACTTCCTAACTTACTCCATGAAACCAACATTATTCTGATAGTAAAGTCAAAAGAGATATGAAAATAAACTACAAACCATTATCTCCTGTGAATATAGACCTTAAAATCCTCAAGAAAATGTCAGCATACCAAATCCAACAGCATTTTAGGAAGAATCACACCACAACCAAACAGAATTTACTTCAATGATACAGGGGTAAATGAAGTTAGAACATTCATCCATGTGATGAAGATAGAAAATGAATCAATGCATTTTAAGACATGAACAGAATGAAAGAACACACACATACATGCACACACACAAACTCACTACAGTTGACATAAGAAAAACATTTAACCAAATCCACAACTTTTATATGAAAACTATGTAAAAAACTATGAGTAAAAGGCAACTTCCTCAGCATGAGAAAGGGGAAAATCTGCAGCTAACAGGAAACTCAAAGACAAAACACTCAACACTGTTGGATGACCTGCAACAAAATAACTGCGCCCACTTTTGTTACGTGTTAACTCTAAAGAGGTCATAAACCTAAATGCAACAGATAAAAATTTTAACATTCTTAGAAGAACAGGGAAATCTTCATGATCATGAGTTTGGCAATGGATTATAAAAACATACATATATATATATATATATATATATATATTTCAACCAAATTTAAAACTTTTGTATATCAAAGTGCATTACCAAGAAAGGACCATTTGGCACATACAACCAAGTAACATTATACATACTGATCAGGCTATACTTAGGAATATGTATGAGTATACATATGTGCATGGAACAGCAATTAGTGAAAAAGAGGCCAAGAAATTGAAGAGTGGTGAGAGATACATGGAAGGGTTTGGAAAGAGAGAAAGGAAGGGAAGGGAAGGGAGGGGAGGGGAGGGGAGGGAAGAGGAGGGGAGGGAAAGGGAGGGGAGGGGAAAGGAGGGAAGGGAAGGGAAAAATGTTGTAATTACATTATGATCTCAAAAAATACAAAGTGAAAAGACAAACTAATGAAAGGGGAATATAGTTCCAAGTCATATGTGTGGTAGGGCACTTATATCTAGAGAGAACCCTCACAACTCAGTAATAACAAGATAACTGATATTTAAAACTGGCAAAGGTTCTATAAAGATATTTCTCCAAATGTTTACAAATGGCTGGTAGATTAAAAGACTGAACATTATTAGAGAAACGTCAGTCAAAACTAGAATTAGACATCACTTCAAATACATTAGGAGAGCCATCACCAAATTAAATAAGTATCAAAAAGTGGAGTAGGTAGAACCCTTATATACAGCTGGTAGAAATACGAAACTGTTTAGCTGCTTGCAGAAAAACTTGAGCAGTTATTCAAAAACTTAGACATAGAGTTAGCTATATAATCCCAGAATTCCTCTCCTAGGCATATACACAACCAAGTGAATGGGGGCACGTCCAGAAAAAAATGTATGTGAATTTGATAGCAGCATTAGTTATAGGATCCAAAAGGTATAAAATATTCAAATATCAATATTCTGAGAAATCAGCAAACAAATGTGCAGTATACAATGAAATATTATGCATTCATAAAAAGAAATGATGTATTGATATGTGCTCCCACACGGGCAAATATTAGAAACACTGTGTTTAGTGAAGGAAGCCAAACATAAAAAAACCAATATAAAGCCAGGCAGTGGTGGCACACGCCTTTAATCCCAGCACTCGGGAAGCAGAGGCAGGCAGATCTCTGTGAGTTCGAGACCAGCCTGGTCTACAAGAGCTAGTTCCAGGACAGGCTCCAAAACCACAGAGAAACCCTGTCTCGAAAACAAACAAACAAACAAAAAAACAATATAATACAACTTCATTCATGTATATGAAATATCTGGAATAGACAAATCAGCAGAGACTGAAAACAGAACAGTAGCTATTTAGGGGAAAGGAAGGAATAATAGATGGGAATGATGAAAATGTTCTATAATTAGTGCTAATATGTATACAACCCTGTGACTACATTAAAAATTGCTGAGCCATATACTTTTAAATAAAAACTGTACAGTTTGTGCACTCTTCTCGGAAGATGAACAGGGAGATGCTGCAGGCACCTGAGGAGACATCTATTTTTTAGGTTAAACAAAGAGAGTAACTGTCACACAATGTAAACCATTTCCCATGGAAATACATGTCACGACATTTTCATCCCTGCATCTGATAGGTGTGAACAAGAACCAGAGCAGCTTCTGTTGAGGTTACCTGGTGTTTCTTGAAGGCCCGAAGAAGTAAATCGATGTCAGTAAACGTGAGAGGAAACTGCAGCCGAGGGCCATCGTAAGAGTTGGGTACGTCTATCAACCCCAAATATTCCTGTCTATCCTTGTTTTCCTGCATAGGTTTTTCAAAAAGTCGACTTACTCTTGCTGGAAAGGAAAGATAAAGAGGTATCAGATGGGGATTCAGCAGTCTAATGCCTCAAAAACCACTCTTAAATATCTGTGCAAGACACTATACTGCTATGAATGCCAACAGAGTGCACATAAAACTATGATGAATATCTAATTCTGAAGTTGGTAGCCGCCATCATCCCTTTCTGGAACTAAGCTTCGTCAAAGCAGTGAGTCCATAATCAATGGGGAGAAGACCACGAAGCACATGAAAAACTGGTTAGTCAAGGTATTTTGATGTTCTGAAGTTGAAGTCTGATTCTTTGGTTCACTCTTACTTACCAGATCCTTACAAGCAAGGCTAAAAGTATGAACAATGCGCTGCATTTGGTTCAAGCAGCTGCTGCTATTCATGATCTACACGAAATTAAACCGCAACATTCAATTTTCCCCTTGTTAAAGACTTCAGAGGATTTTACTTAGCTTTAATTGATTTGTTTCTCTCTATGTACAATGTTTCTTCTGTGGTTTTCTTTTTTTCTTGGGAACAAAGCAGATAAAACTTAAATGACAAACCATAGGCAAAAACAACCAAAGGCCACTCCCTGTCTCTGAGATATTTCTGTATGGTAATAGTCTGCCAGCATTGCCCGTATACTAAGGCAATTTAGTATGGCTGAAACCTACAATCATTTCCTGCCAAGTTGCCTATGAAACAGGCCCCTGAACAGAAACCTAGACAATTCAGGCAGAGAAAGGTGCAAGAGAATGTGATAGAGTAGCTGCAAAGTGGCCTCAGGATTGCATCCTAACTTCTACTCATGCTTCTTACAATGTGATCTTCATCAAGAATATCTTTCCCTTGCTTTTGAGATGACTTAGGCTACTAATTACTTTAAACTATTCTGAAAAAATGTGGTTCAAGAGCTACCTACCAGCTCCAAGTCCAGGTCTCAAGAGGCCTTCTATGATTCTATGCTCTCTGTTTGGGAACACAGCCATCTTCACTCAGCCCAAGCTCTCCTACCGAAAGGCCATGATTAATGGAACAGGGCAGCTAAACCGAGCCAAGGATGTCCTAGATCAGCTAATAGCCAGCAGATCTCTAGACGCATCAATAAACTCCAGCCAATATTAAAAAATCTGTCAAACCGACTGTGCCAATGTCAGAAATGTTCAGCTAACTTATAGACTTGCTAGGAAAAAAAAAACACATTTTTTTCCTATGTCACTGAGATACTGTGGCTCCTTTGTGGTATTATAACCACGTGTTTGTTATTAAGGCTATCACCCTAAGTTCTTTGCGAAAAACAAAAACAAAACAAAACAAAAAAACAAAACCATATCTTTTCTGAATATCTAAAGTTGGTCACCTATAAAAGATAGGATGCTATCTGATGCAGACAGAGTATATGTTTTCCATGGTCAATTATGATGAGCAGTAAGTCAAGAAGTAATTTGAAAACTTGTTCTAAACTAGGAAATAACATTTGACAATTTCATTAAAATATATTCTAAATTATTATGTAATCCCAGTGTGTTTTGGTGAGAGTAGATAATACTGTATAAAAAGTGGAACTGGGGTATAATAACATCTGTATTCAATGTGGTCAGCAGACATCATTTTTCTCCTTTGATTTTGGTCTGATATTTAGGGAAAACTGAATTTTTCAATTTATGCTAGAAACCAGAAATGCAGGACATCCTGTTTAATTTGATTTCAGATTCATCATGTAGGCAGTGAAGCCTAAATAGTCTCTTTAACTCCCCTAATGATCACGCCATTCATTTTACTTGGGAATTGTCCTACAAAGGAAAGATGAAATATCAGGCAACTCTTAGGAATATAACACCCCTGCCCACAGAAACCCCAACAGTTTTACTGCATCAGCTAACAGACACAAAGTTTTTGTTATAGACTCTAAGAAAGAAAGCGAACATGGAGCACATGTGATTAGAACTGAGGGACCTTGTGTTTTAGGTGAGGTATGTTTATGGCATGACTGTAGTGTTCATGGAAGAGACTGTATAGCTTTTGAAATGCACCTGACTAAAACATGGATGCTAGCAGAAAAGAGAAAGAAGTTGAGTATATAGATCTGTAGATGCCAATACATATGGAGAACCCCCCTCCCACATGTGGCCCCTTTCCAAGTCTCCAGAAGCTTGGCAGCCTGGGGAGTCACTTTCTGTTGCCTTCATCTTCAGTGTAACCCTCTCTTTAGGCTTTGTCATACAATAAGACATGGCCAAAGATATATCTAATTTAAAACACTAGCCCTGGATCACACATCTGCTTATATGGACATGTCTACATTTATTGCTCCTAGTATTTTTTTCCACCCTGGGACAATCCTTTCTTCTTTATCTTTATGTTTTGGATAATTTATCTTCATCCTTCAAAACTCAGCAGGCTTCCCAGGTCGGGTCCCAAACTCTACCGTTTCAATAACAAAATTGATGATGATGATCGCGACAATGACAAGACAATAGATAGCTCTGACTTACTGCATGCTTGCTATGTAGCAGGCAGTGTTATAAGAATGTGAGGGTTGCTTTTTTCTCATTAAATAAGTTGATATTGATAAATAAGAAACTACATCAACAATAAAGACTGTTGATTGTGCATTAACCAAAAGAATTAATTTTAATAGATCATGAAAAATGCTAACTTTTTTTTAACTTAGGAAAATATTCTATTTTCCTGGTCACTGCCTTCACACATGCTGCCATTTCTCCCCTTCCCATTGGCTAGTAACAAATACATTTTACCAATGCTAGTCAGTGATGAAAACTCGAGTTCAATTATTTTAAGAACAAAACAAAATATTCTTTTAAAATCAATAGCTTAGTACAGTCCTTTCTTCCAGATATTTAATGACCCTTATTTCATGAAAAGTTTAATGATAAATTAATGCAAATTCTACTTCTCTAAGTCAAGTCTTCAGTAAAACTATGCAATATAAAATATTTGAGATTAATTTATTTTAATTTTGGTTTGTGTATATGAATTTCTGCCTGCACATACATCTTTGCATCACATATATATATGGTGTCCACAGAGGCAAGAAGATGACATTGGTCTCTCTAGCACTGGAGTAACTGAAGATTGTGAGCTGCCATGTGGGCACTAGGAAATGAACCCAGGCCCTCTGCAAGTGCAGCAAATGTTCTTCACTGTTGAGCTATTTCTCCAGCTCCAATATCAAGTATTACTCCATATTAAATCATTATCCTTCTGTTGGGTTTTTAGCAAGACGAAAATTAGTAACAGAGATTCTCTTCTAATAACTAGTGTGTATAATGTATGAAAACTGAGTCTTAAATTTATTCCTCTGGCTGTCCTGGAACTCACTTTCTAGACCAGGCTGGCCTTGAACTCACAGAGATCCACTTTCCACTGCCTCCTGAGTGCTGGCTGGGATTAAAGTTGTGCAGCATCTCTGCCTGGCATGCTTTAACATTTCTAACGCATATATTGTCCTTGTTGCCCATAACTAATAAATAATAATTCAATGAATGCAAGCAATATATGAAAATTCATACAACATTTAATTGGAATTAATCCTTAGTTATTTGATTTATAACTTTGTAAACACGGATCTAAACTAATTAAATATAATAAAATATTAACACAAACAAATGATACTCATACAAGTTGTTATAAGAAAATAATTTTTACCCTTGCCTTCACCCATGTTGCCATTTCTCTGTTTCCCACTAGCTAATAACAAGCAAATTTCATCACTGCCAGTGATTAAAACTTGAATAAAAGATCTTTTCTTTCATCTGAGGAAGGGAAAAAGTATAAAAATTGAAGCCCATAATTTTTGCACACAGATAATATCAGCTTATACCACCCACACATTACTTTGAAAAAAAAACCCCACATGTTTCTGAACAAGGAAAAGCATCATTTGGCAACATTCATGGTTGTTTCATTTCCTAATTATAAGTCTGTGTCAAAATCATTAGTGTCCATATACTAAATTCAACAGATGCCAAATGACAGCTCATAAAGTTAATCTTAAATCTGGGTCAGAATCATTAGTGTTCATATATTAAATTCAATGGATACCAAAATGATAGTTAATAAAGTTAACTATCAATTTTTGATTTAAAAAACATGAAATGGAAGGATATATTCTTGGCATAAATTTTAAATTAAATAAATGAGTGTATTGGTTTCCATTAAATCAACAAAAAAAATGCTATCTACTTTCACTTGTTTTTAATACTCTTCTGCTATCTTCTGCAATCAGGACAGGAAGCTGAAACAAGAAGAGTTTAACTATTATACAAAAATATATAATAACAAAATCTGTTGATGTGATTAAAAAATAAACTCAAGAGAAACTCCAAAATCTGATAAGGAAATTAAATACAATACAGAGATTAATCTCACAGGCTTGAATCACATTTTTATCCCTGATGAGATAAGTAACCTTGGAAGGATACCCTCAGACCCTCGTTCTTATAAAAGGTAAATAATTAATACTAGTAATCATTTTAGTTTGTCATGAATACTAAATGAAATGATATAAATTATTGAAACACATGGTACATGGTGAAGTTTACTGAAAAAAATAATATACGAGCTACTAATAATATTGAGTAAAAGCACAAGATGAGATATAAATATAAATATTTAATAAGATATTCCAAATAAGTAATGGGAAGATAGCATGCTGGCAAATATTTTATTCACCATAGTAACATAAAATTAAAATATTCTAGTAGCACAAAAGTTAAAAATATAAATACATATGTACATACATATATTCCCAAAGAATATATGTATGTATATATATGTGTGTATGTGTGTGTATATATATGTAAACTATGTGGCCTGAGGGGACACTTTGGCTGATGGTGAGTCCAAAGAAAAGTCTAAACAACATTTGCACATGACTCAGCCTACTCCCACCAGTCTCTGTATAATCCTAAGGCAACTTTGTCTTCTTCTTCTTTTTTTTTTGACTGTAGATGGCATTGTTGTAAAATACAGACTGGAAACTTGTATGTGCACTCTACTCTTTATCAAGTCTATGAATCTGTTTTAGGTCTGCAAGTAGAAGAACACGGACATAAGCTGGTATAAGTAAGTTTTGCATAAGATGCAGTATGTTTGCCAGCACGGATACTACATTAGGACCCCTCTTTCAAAACCCAAATGTCTTGAGATACTATGCACGTCAAAAAAAATCAATCACTGATCTGGACTCTATATCTGGGACTTCCTGGTTGCTCAAAGATCTTATTACTTCAATTAAACAGGCCAAGGTGGAGGCTGTCTAGAATCTTCCCACCAAAGCATGAGAAATCAACTTACGCAGTACATGCACAATGGCATATGCCTGTCGTTCCAGTGCTCAATATGCTGAGGCAGGGTGATTATGAGATCAAAGTCAGCTTGATCTACATAGATAAAGTCACCTTATACATACTTAAATTCTGCCTCTGGCAATGAAAAGAAGAGAAGGTGAAGAGGAGAGGAGAGGGAGGCAGGAGGATGGAGAAGGAGGGAGTGAAAAGAAGAATGTGTGTGTTCGCCAAAAGGGACCTGCACATAAACACATTAATACAGCCACACAACTGGACAGAAAACAACCCATGCACACGTAAACAATAGGATGGATAAAGTATAGCACATTGGTAAAATGGAATGTAATCCAACAACAGGAGTGACCAAATTACAATAACGTAAATGATCTCACAAGGATAATGTTGAGTAAGATTAGCTAGATTCAAGGTCTATTCTGGATGTTTCTACTAATAAATAAATTTTAAAAACAAGCATAATTAACTCACTTATGGTATAGACGTTCAAAACTAGTTCCATAGTGCAATAGACATCGGGTTGCAGCGAGAAGAGGCAGAAGGGAGGCTTCTGTGACTCCAATAATGGTTTGAGGGTATATTTTTGGTTTTTGAAACAAGGTCTCACGTAGCAAGGATGACCTTGAATTTCGGATCCCCCTACTTCCTCCTCAAAAGCTGAGACTGCAAGCGCGTGTCACCATGCTTGATTTCTGCAGGGCCGGGGACTGAGCCCAGGGCCCCTGCATGCCAACCGAGCTCCGTCCCCAGCCATTCTGCTTTCTTTCTTCTTCTGAGTACCTGTTTTCTGGGCATTTTTTCTTTGAGAAAATTTCAGTCGGATATTATTTGTATACTTTCCTATAATGTATTTTATATTCCAAGGAAAACACTGTTCCCTTCTTTGAGAAGAAACATTCTGTTATATTTTTAAATCATCTGCAAGGTTTTTTTTTCAAAATGCAGATTTTGAAAAATCGAGACTCTGAATAAATATCTCTGAGCTGTAACCCAGCCATCTGTGGTTCTGAAACCCGTATAAGCGACTCTGATGAAGTGAGTCTAGATTGAAAGAGTAGCTGATTAGCAGAGAGAGACATGTTTCCTTTCATCATTATTATATTTCTCCCCCAAACATTTCTGACCAAGAACACGAAGCACAAACGACTGTCTTTAAACTGCAGCTACCTAAAATGGAGAGAATGGCAAAGTACCTACTTCCATGCAGTTCCCGCTCCTCAGGTTTGGCTATTCTAGCGCTCAGAAAGCCTCTATGGATCCTTAAATGCTTTCCTTAGTTTCATACATATGTACTTGACTCGAATCATGCCACTACCACCTTCCTCACCCCTTTAAAGAGCATTTAAAGGTTGGGAAGATGGCTCAGTGGGTAAAGTGCCTGCTGCCGAGCCTGATGACCTGAGTTTAATTCCTAAGATCCACGTGGTAGAGAAAACCAAATCCTGCAAGTTGTCTTCTGTCTTCTGACCTCCACACATGTACCAAGGCACATTTGTGAGCTTTCTCTCTCTCTCTCTCTCTCTCTCTCTCTCTCTCTCTCTCTCTCTTTCTCTCTCTCTCTCTCTCTCTCTCTCTCCTGTGTGTGTGTGTTAAGGAAATTTTAGAACAAAATCATTTATCAGATTATTTAAAGATGTTCTTAGGGTTACGCAGATGGCTCGGTGGGTAAGAACACTTCCTGTGCAAGTTTGAGGACCTAAGTGTGGCCACTATGATCCCACATAAAAAGCCAGGTGTGGCTGCACACTTCTGTGACTTTACCACTGGTAGAAACCAGAAATACAAGGCTTGCTGGACAGTCAGCCTGCTTGAAATATAGTGAATTCCACGCTAAATTAGAGACTGTATGTTAAAAGGATAAGGAGAGAGTGTTGGTCTCTGAATGCTCACATGCGCGCACGAACACACGCACACACACACACACACACACACAGGTGCACGTGCATATACAGAGTAGGGCTCCTAAATACTTTGCACATTGTTAGAATTAAAAATGGCTTACCCAAGGTGGTTTTCCTTCTTAACAGCTTTTGTTTTTTTTTTTAATTTATTTATTTATTATGGATACAATATTCTGTTTGCATATATGCCTGCTAGAAGAGGACACCAGACCTCAGTACAGATGGTTGTGAGCCACCATGTAGTTGCTGGGAATCGAACTCGGGTCCTTTGGAAGAGCACCAATGCTCTTAACCGCTGAGCCATCTCTCCAGCCCCCAGCTTTTGGGTTTGACCTCTACTTTGGAAGTAACAGACAGATTTTATTTAGCATGAGAAATATATGTCTTATGAATAATTATAATTTTAAACTCCTATGTTGCCTGTATCAATTCAAAATGATTATATAGTTGATAGATAAATAGATAATATAAACACACCACAGAAAGTACCTTAGTCTAGTTTATAGTATTATAACAGAATACCACAAACTGGATAATTTAAAGCAAATACAAGTTTATGAATGGGCCTAGTTGTTTTTGGATTCCTTTAAATTCTTGTTCAGACAAAAATCAAACTAAAATGAGTTCTCATTTACCTTAAGTCTAAAACTGTTGCCAATTTTTAATGGGAATTATAAAAACAATTAGCATGTATTATAGATTTAAAAATTTTAAGTATAAGTGAGAAATAAAAGAAAAATCATCCACAGTCTCCATGCCAGAACCAAATTATTTGTCTATGGGTTCTAAAGTCTTGGAAATCTAAGATTAAGGAGAAATGTTTGGTGAGGACTTTGTGCTCTAAGTTATAACATGACTGGAAACATCACAGCAAAAGAGCAGGTGCAAGGAAGAGGACTGAGGGATCATACTTTATAAGGTCACCACTGTTCAAATAATCCTGTATAGGGGAAGGCTCTCTAACTTCAACAGCTCTGACAGGTCCCACTTTCAACGTGTTGCATGAACTTTGGGGGAAAGATTGAAGACATCGCAGACATACTGAGTGGAGAGAGGGAAAGATATTACATTTAATCTATCATTTTCACCTAGACTCCACTGCGTGCAATACTCAAAATACTTGGATTTTTTAGCATAAAACTTCTGTAGGTAAAACACAAGCTCCTCATTACTAAACTTCTCTTGTGTATTAACAGATTGTGGTTCCAGACAAAATATTTAACCAAGGAATGCTGAATTTTGTTTTTTTTTAATTAAAGGCTGACTTAACAAATCCCATCCAGATGGGGAATAAAAACAAGTTGAGCAAAGTTTAGTTGCTAGGTGTCACACGGACAAGAAAGGGGAGCATCTTTAATGGCACAGCATCTCTTATCGTCATTTACATTTTAATGAAGACAATTCAATATATAAAACTGCTTTTCAAAAGACTACCCTTTAGAGGTGGAATGATTGTTTGGCAGTTACGAGAACATACTATTCCTGCAGAAGACCTGAGTTCGGTTCCCAGCACCCACATTGCATGGCTCATAACCTCCTGAAACTCCAGCTCCAGAGAGTCTGATGTCCTCTTTTGGCTCCCATGGACTCTGTACTCACCTGCACAAACACACACCTACCCACCCACCCACTCACCACCCCACACACCCAATTGAAAAATAAAAATAAATAAAACCTTAACAGGCTAAAACTTTTTTTTTTTGCTTACCTGACTCTTCATTCTTTGTGTAGTTTTCCAACATGAAGGAAAAGAAGTTGGACAGCTGAACAAGATAAAATGGTATAAATCGTTAATAAAGGCTGAGCCACTGCAGCAAACAGCGAAGCTCTGTGCAAGTCCCTTATTCCCCTGTCGTGCTCATCTTCCTGCTACAGCGCATGCCAAGAGTCACAGATGGGCAGCGCCACACTGAGCTGCATAGAAATTATATATGCATCCCTCCTGGGAGGCTGCCCATACAGAACTGGCTAAAGCAAACGCGTAACAAGCCAGTCCTCCACCTCCTTGCCATGCATGGGACAAATGATAATGTAATTCACATTTAAACGCGTCTATGGGATCGGCTGAAGTTAGACTTGTGCAGAAGGTCTAGTTCTTCCTGACTTCTTTGTTCCCTATGGTCTCTTCGTTATCTCTTTGGTATCAAAATTAATACTGTTTAAATTGACAGCCTACATGGGTTTGGGGAGATTGCTCGGTGGCTAAGAGCACTGACTGTTTTCTCGGAGAAACAGAGTTCAATGCGCAGCATCCACATAGCAAGCAGCTTATAACTACCTGTGATCCCAGGCTCAGGGGATGCAATGCTCTCTTTTGGCCTCCATGGGCACTGAACACACAAGGTGAACAGATATACATGAAAGCAAAACACACACACACAAAAAAAAAAACACAACTAAATACTTTTAAAAAGACAGCCAACTCTATGAGGTCCTAATCAAAGCGAAGGGAACACTGAATGCCCTATGTCTTTTGTTGTTGTTGGGATTTTTGGTGGTGGTGGTGGTAGTGATGGTGTTTTGTTTTTGTTTTTGTTTTGTTTTGTTTTTTGGTTTTGGTTTTTTTTTTTTTTTTTTTTTGACAGGGTCTCACTATATAGCCCTGGCCGTACTCAGACTCATTATATAGACCAGGTTGGCCTCAAACTCAGAGATTCTCCTACTTCTGTCTCCTGAGTGCTGAAATTTAAGACATGTATCATCATGCCTGGCCTAACCTATATCATTTTAATAGCTACCAAAAAGAGATTTGCCAACTTAACTCCTTTGGAAATTTGTTTATTTTTAAGGACCATAACCTGATACTTAAATATGGTTGTTAAAACTTTAAAAAAAAGACCAAAGGAAAATAAGGTCTCCCTTAATATCACTACCCACTCACCTATGTCACCCTTGTTCCTGCCAGTAGCCACTGCGCAGAATCTGCTATGCATGTTTTTCTAGAATATGATTGAACGGTTAGGTTTTTTAAAATATTTATTTATTATGTATACAATATTCTGTCTGTGTATCTGCCTGAAGGCCAGAAAAGGGCACCAGACCCCATTACAGATGGTTGTAAGCCACCATGTGGATGCTGGGAATTGAACTCAGGACCTTTGGAAAAGTGGGCAATGCTCTTAACCTCTGAGCCACCTCTCCAGCCCCCAGGGTTTTTTTTTTTTTTTTGCATACATGAGATAAACTCTAGGTAGCACTATGTAAATTGGTTCTTACATTAATAACTATATTGGGGATCTTTCTAAGATCATTTTATAGGTAAAAGGTACTCATTTTTTATTAGTGAATATCAAAGCAAGAGTTATGAATTTGTACCACCAGTTTTATAAAGGACTTACACATTCATATATTTTCTTTTATAACTTTCATAGACTTGTTCCCTGGAAAACCTTCTGTTTTTAAGGTCTAAAAGTAGCCTGTCTGAAGGGCTTTGGAGGTTAGCTTAGTTGGCAAAGTGTTTACTATGAGAACCTGAGTTTGAGCCCCAGAACTTATATAAAAACAGGGCAGTATTCACTTGTAATCCCAGAACTGGGGAGGCTGAGATAAGACGGTCCCCAGGAATCACTTCCCTAATAGCCAACCCTATTGGGAAGTTTTAGAGCTCAATGAAAGATGCTATCTCAAGAAAGACAAGGTGGACAGCTCTTGAGGAATGATACCCATTCCACACACATACACTTGGATGTGCACACACCCCTGCACCTACATACACAAGAACATATGCAAACATAGCTATTCTTTTGGGGTTGGGGATATATAGTTCAGTGGTACAGTGTTTTCCCAACTTGCACAAGGCTCTGGATTCAGCCCCCCACTTCCATTTTTTATTTTTCTATTCATAAAGTAATGAGTTCATTTACCATTATGGAATATGCTCAAAAAATTGAAAAAAAATACTTTTTATTAGTTAGCTAGACATCTGGCATTGTTCTAAAAGTGGAAGCTTCAAAACTGAGAAATACCATCTCCCCAAATTACAATCTCTCAACAACTAGTTCCAAAACAATGCCATTGCAGCTTCTATGAAAACCTTTCATCAAGGCTCCTCAGCTTCAAACAGACCCGCAGTTTCATTCTTTCAAAAACAAGAAGAGGGGAGAGCGCCAGAGAGGAGGGGAGGGAAGGCGGAAGGGAGGGAAACAAAGAGATGCTTGCCAAACAGACCTGCATTTGGCCTTGCTCATCAGCATATTCGATAGACTGGAAGATGGCGAGGGCATAATGCTGTCTAGCCATAAGTCGAGCTCTGTACCGCCGGTACCAGTTTTGGATGACTAATGCGGCTTTCAGCACTGCAGACCCACAGGATATGAAAGGCAGAGAAAAACAATTATATTATAGCTTTGAGGAAAGCAGGTGTTTTAACCAAAACAATCCAAAAATTTCTTAGTCCTAAAAAAATAGGAACATAATAAACAACGAGATTGACCTTTATGCTTTATATAAAATGTTCTTAAGGCTCAAACACTCAGAGAGATCAGAGCACAATGATGTCATAACCATTAAGGGTAGAAACTTTAAGGTAAGATTGCCTGAACACGATGCTTCCTGCCAGTCAGTCACTAGAAAAAGGAGTGTAGACTTGCAGCGAATACATTCCATGGGGTATCTTGCCACCATTAGAAAGAAAGGATTAAATAAACCCTGGGAAATATGAGTGCACTGGTTGGTTTTTGTCAATATGATACAAACCTAGACATATACAGGAACAGGGAAACCTAACTGGAAAAAAAATGCCTCCATAGGATTGGCCCATAGGGTATTGTCTTGATGAGTGATTGATGTGGGAGAGTTAAGCCCATTGTGGGTGGTGTCACCTCTGGTGGTCCTAGAGGGTTTAAGAAATCAAACTAAATATGCCAGGAGGAGCAAGCCATTAATTGGCTCTACTCCATGGCCTCTCTATCAGTTCCTGTTTCCAGGTTCAATCTCGGTTTCCTCAGGAGTTTTTGTATTCCCCATGCGCAGAGTGTTCAACAATGTTTACCAAATACTTAGAGAGTCCCTGCAGTCCTCCCAACACTGTGAAGCTAAGAGAGGTGAGAGTACCCACTTAGCTCACTTAGTCACTAAGTAGAAATGACAGGGGAAATCTGAATACAGATCTGACCCCAAGGCCCAAGCTTTTCACCTCCAAAGAGATGTTCACCTATTGCTATACATCATGTCCCCATTTATACAATGATATAGCAGAAAGAATGATCACGGGAGTTTCATCTACTTAGAATTAACAGTGTCAAATAATATAATGTTAATAATAGATAACCGAGCTGATTTCTGTTTAATAATAGAACAGTCTGCTTTGAAACTTTCAGTGCCCACAAACATCATCCGCTCCATGCCACATGTAAGGAAACTGAGTTCAGAGCAGCGAGTGTGTTGTTCAAAGTCACCTAGCATAGACATCTGAGTCCAAACCCTGAGTTCTTTCCACTAGGGCCAGTTACTTTATTCCCTAACTCATTTGGATCTTTCTTTTCATCGACTAATAACAAACACTGTATACTAAATGCCTACTAACTGCAGGAACTGGACACTACATATACCGCCCTTTCTGCTCCTTCCCAACACAAGGAGAAATGGGAGCTAATGTCCTTCTGTCTCTGCTTGGTCTCTGTGCAGGGCATGGTTGAAATTCTACCCCACATGGGAGGAGTCATTGTTTTCTCAGGTAAACAACTGCATTCATTGGGTTCTATTCCGAGGCACGATGGAAAGACAGGGATGTGGAAGGGAAAGGAGCCCTCTCATCCTGGTGTCTAGTGAAAGTCTTCAGACAGCAGTGAGTCAAATATTCCACAGGTATAGGATGGTCAGAGAGATCCCGAGGTCCCCCCAAATAACACAGTTTATTGTTACTACTCTTGTTTACCCACCAAAACTGGATGACAAGACTCTATTTCTGGAGACCCGGTGTGTGTTTGCTACATCACTCATGTAATTCAATTGGTAAATCAAGTTGGAAGCTTCCTCCCTGATGGCCAGCTAGTTTAGTGCCAGAAGGGGCTGTGTACAATTTGAGAGGAGAAAAGTCATCAATAGTCTTAGCCAGCTGTGAACTCTGCAGGCTATAATACACTACAATACACTACCCCAGGCAAGAGTGGCATGATTGTTGGGGGGGGGATAACTAACCAGTTTCTGATGGGATTTGAGGTCCACTCCAAAAGACCTCAAAGGTCCTGCCTGGTACTATAAATCTGGCTGGTAGCTCATGGCCAAAGAGGTCATAGGCCCCAGGAGGAAATTTACTATTATTTGGCTAAATGGACACGATGTCAAACTGCCTTCTAAATGTTTATGTTTATACCCATAGATTGGTGCTGCCTTCAGTCTGGGTCAGAGAAATCCTGTGTGAGTGGGAAATGATTAATGCAAAGATTCACAAGTAGTCAAAGTGCTGATAATAAGAGACTTTAAAAAGCTCTTTGAAAATTATATGGATGAGTGTTTTGCCTACATGTCTGTATATGCATCAGATGCATGCCTGGTGCCCACAGAGGTCAGAAGAGGGTGTTAGATCCCTGAAACTGAAGTTACAGGTGGTTGTGGGTCATGATGTTGGTGCCTGGAACCAAATCTGGGTCCTCTGTAAGAATAACAGGTGCTTGTTAACTGCTGAGCAATCTCTCTATCCCCATCAGTGACTATTGTGTGCTCATCCCCAAGTGGCACATCTATGTTACCCCCTCCAAAGCTAAGTAAGCATCGAGAAACAAGGGGTAAAAAGAATGTAAGAGCCAGATGATGGGGAGCATTGTGAAATGCTGTCATTTGGACGTGACTGGATGTCACATCTAGTTACATTCATGAACTCACATCAGTGGCGATTACCGGCACATGACTGGGCTCCTCAACATTCCACCATGAGGAGCTAAAGACATTTAATGACTGATATGGGGTGGGGGGGTGTCATATTCCTTTGTAGTATAGCCAGTGGTAAGTTGGCCTCACTCAAGTAAACCCATGCTCATGCAAACAACCCTAATTAAATGTGTGACACCCCCCCCAAAAAAATGATAGAAAAGTAGGAAGGGGATTTGTAGGAGAAAAAAAGTTCAGTAGGGGGGATAAAAGAGAAAATGGGGAAATATGATCAAAATACATTTTATATGAAATAGATTATTAGAGAAACAAAAATGGTTAAAACAACAAAAAAAAGAAAAGAAAAGAAAAAGAAGGGAAGGAAGGAAGGAAGGAAGGAAGGAAGGAAGGAAGGAAGGAAGGAAGGAAGGAAGGAAGGAAATCACAGTATATTTGAGGTTGGAGGAATATACTTCAGTTGCCTGTCATGCACAAAACCCTGGGTTCAATGCCCAGTACTGCGTAAAACCAGGTGAGGTAGTTACCATGTATAATCCCAGCACTTAGAAAGCAGAGACAGAGCAGCAAAAGTTCAGTGGTCCTTGGCTACAAGGCAAGTTAAAGGGCAACCTGGACTATCTGACACTCTATCTTAACAAAGAAAGAATTCCAGGTCAGTTCGTATTTACTGTGAGGGTTATCGCAGAGTGACATCATTCCTTTTATGTAGAGACGTTTCTACAGAGAAGAGTACAACCCATGATGAGAAGAGGGACCCATTCTACATGCTGCCTTGTGATTTGTGGCTGATCCCAAACACCATGTTGGCTTCCACAGAACAATGATCATGCACCTAGGTTCTAGAATTTGAGATCTGCATTCTCTCTCACTGCCAAGCAGGGTAACCCCCAACAATTATCTCTGGACCTCAGTGGTCTTATTTTGCAAACTATGGCTGATGATAATTCATAGGAAGGAGGAAATCAAATCAAGGTATCTACATCACGATGTCTGGCACAAAGCAAATGTTCCTCATTTGTCTTGCTCTCCAACCTTTGACTTGATTTTTTTTAATTTTAAAAATTTCTTTCAAAATGCCACAATAATGACCATCACCAGAAATAAGAGTCTATTAAATCAAACAAACAAAAACAACTTGGCAATAAAAAAAAAAAGCCATGCATGTTGGGGAGAAAAAAAATGGATTGATACCTTAACTAAATCTATACTGTTGCTTCCCAAAGCTTACATATGGCAGTAACTTTTTTCTCCTCCTGCAGAGATTAATAAGACCAGGAAGACAGACACACAATTCTTACACACTGACCTGAAGCAGCTCTAAGCTGTCAAGCAAGGTGAGAGCTGGACAACACAGATCTTCACCTCCTTGGGCTGGATGGATTGAAGCTAACAACCCCTCGGTTCTACCTGGCACTACTTTGGAATTCTCCAGTCAAGAGGAGGGGCTGTGTTACCCTGCAGAATGTAGGTGGACTCTCTGGCACCAAATAAGGTCTTAGGGGCCTGCTGTTGGTATGCCTAATCCTGTCTGTCAATCTCCTAACCTCTCCTGGAGAGGTTCTGAGGAAGTTAATTGCTCAAAAAGATAACAGTAAGGTACGGATCAAAACCCATTTTCTTGGTCAACTGTGGCCCAAGAATTCAAAATACCAGTGTAGAACTCTAATAGGGCCTGAGTTGGAGGATCCAGGAAGTCAGAAGCTTGATATCTAAGCATGTCCGATTTTTCTTTCTCCACGAAGACCAGGCCTCATCAAATGCCCTCCAATTCCATTCCCTCTGTTCCTCTTCTGCCACTCAATTCCTCCTGTTCCCATTCCCATGTGCCCCAGTCCACCAGCAAAATCTCCTCCATTTCCCCTTAGAGCCTTCCTTGTTACTTAGCCTCTCTGGGTCTGTGGGTTGCAGCATGGCTATCCTTTACTTTATAGCTAACATCCACTTATCGGGGAGAACATACCATGTTTGCCTTTCTGGGTCTGGGTTACCTCCTTCCTTCCTTCATTTTTAAGAAATATAACAAAATAAAATATAGTAAGATAAAATAAAAGCTACCACATTGAAGTTGAACAATACAAACCAACAAAAGGAAAAGAGCTCAAGAATCAGAGGTTCCCCCTTTCTATATGTGTTGCTTTTTATGCTGACTGGTAGAGATGTCTTATCTTGCTTGGTTCATGTTTGGTTTTTTTTTTTTTTTTTAATCAAGAGCTTCCTTGGCAGGCAGTTCCTTAAACCAGAAGCTTTGTATTTGGAATGATAAGGCATTTAGACTCTGCTTTTGAGATTCCGCTGGCAGAGGCCTTCTGAGGAAGCACCAGGAGGAGCAAACTGTTAACGTCCCTTTAAGGAGCCTGGCAGCCAGTCAGGAAGACACAGAGCACAAGGGCAATAGAACTGATGAAAAGGAATTCAAATGAACTGGAAAGAGAATGGATCCTCTCCTGACAAAAGGCTTTAATTGAGAAGGAAAAGCACCTATTCCCCCAACTGCTCAAAGCAGAGTAAGAATAGAGTGTGGTTCGCCTTTGCGGGGGAGCACAGGCGTCATTATTGTTAGTCTTGTTTAGCTATATTCTATAGCTGCCACCTGCAAGAGAGCGAGACTCTTCTCGTCCCTCTCCCAACTTCACTTGAAGCGCATGCTTTTGTAGACATGAGATGGTCACAAAGTCTACTCCTTGAGCAGTGCCATGGCTTCTATGTCAAACGTCACAGTCGTACAAGGCATGGTGATTCACAGTTGGAGCCCCAGCGCTTTAGAGGCCAAGGCAGTAAGTTCAAATGCAGCCTGAACTACACAGTTAGTTCTAGGCCATCCTGGGACTGGCACACACACATGCACACCAAAACAAAACAAACAAAAAAGGAATATAACCGCTAGCATGACAATATTGAGAGGTAAGAGTTCTGGGGTGTCCTTAGGTCCCTGATGAATAGATTAGTACTTTTATCTTAGGAGTGGCTTCCTGAGGAAAGGATGGTGTAGCTCCATTCGTCTCTCCGAGTGCACAGGCTCTCTGACCACACAACGTTCTTAGTCATGTTATGAGGCAGCAAGAAGTCCCTGGCCAGATGACAATGCCTTAATATTTGACTTCCCAGTCTCCAGCACCTCGAGAAATGCCTTTTCTTTATAAATCCCACAGTCTGCTGTCTTCTGTCAGAACAGTAGAAAATGACCAAACTAGGAAGCGAGGAAAGCAGAGAGCTTATTGAGATTTGCCCATCCACAAACTCTGGTCTGGCTCCCCTGCAGGGCAAGGGATGGTCCTGAAAGACATAGGTTTGCATTTTTAAACTACACTCATTTCTTTACTGGTGTTGATGGTGGTAGTGGGGGTGGGGGTGAGGGTGGGGGTAGTGGTGTGTGTGTGCTGTAATACACATATGGGAGTCAGAGAACAACTTACAGGAGTCGGTTTTCTCCTGTCGTTCATTATATGGGTGCCAGGGAACAAATGCAGGTCTTTATACACTAAATCAGTTCACCAGTCCCTGAAAGACATTTTTAAAAAGATTTTTTGAATTGTGAGTGCGCGCATGCGTATGTGTGTTTACGTGTGATTGTAAGTGCCCATGGAGCTAGAGGTATTCGACCCTCGGAGAGTGAGTGACAGCTGGTTTTGAGCTGTCTTATATGGGTGCATTCCTCTACAAAAGTACTGTGTGCTGTTGGCCACTGAGCCATCATTCCAGCTCCAGACCTGTTCTTAAACAAGAAACTAAAACCATCTTCAAACGATGATGGGTGTTTTAGAACCATCACTTTCCTTAAGTGACAATGGAGATGAGAATTTTATCCTTGTCAGAAACCTCTGGTTTTCCAGTTAGAGAAGAGTAAGAATTAAAATTCATTTGTTTTACATTCTATATACTTGTTCATTCACCTATCTGTAAGAGTTAAAAACAAAAACAAAACCAACTAAGTTCTGAATTTGTAATTAGAGAACTTCCATTTTGGTCTTTACTGAAGCAGGTGCCAGGTGTAACTTCAGGCAAATCATGTAACCTCTCTGGTCATCATTTCTCTGGTGAACGCTGGCAACGCTGGGTTTATGTGCTCTCTAAGATCCTTTCCAATTAGAAAATATTCAAGCCATCTGCTTTTTTAGGGACACAGCTGCAGCCACCCTATTATTGCACATAGCAAAGTTGAAAATAACTACTGAAGGGCAAAATATGATGAGTAAAACTTCATGCTCAAGCAGAAACTTCTGGAAAAGCAAGACAAATTCGAAAGGCTATTCTATGTAGGACTTGATACAGATGTAGCTCAGCAGAAGACCACTTGCCTACTATGTGTAAGACCCTGTTTTTCGTCCCAAGAACTCCTAAATATAACTAAACAAACAACGAATAAATAAATTATCCCTGTAGAAAAATATAAGTAAAACTATAAACAACTCTGGTTTTGCTATCAAGGAACTGTGGCCAAAGTCGATAACAATTGTTTCAAGAACATTATTTTTTTCCTAGTATAACCTTTTGTCTCAAGTCTTGTTTTATTTTGTTGATTGCTTGCTTTATGGCAGGTTCTCTCTCTATAGTCATGGAATTTGCAATCCTCATCTCTGTCTCCAAGTGTTAAGATTACACGCATGTGCCACCACTCCCCATTTACCTCTTTAAATACTCTACAGTGACTGCCGTGGCTAATGTGGTCACTGGTATGAACAAGGGGAGGGGAGGATGAATGGAGAAGAAAAGGAAGAGCAGAGGGAACCGAAGCTAACAAATATACAGGCAGAGTCTGAGGCATAGAGGCCTCAGTGTGGACAAAGAGGTAAGAGAAAGAGATGATAAATACAAAGATTTCAGAGGTAAGCCGCTGTGGTAGGGGATGAAAGTAAGCAACTGAAGCTGAGCAGTGGAGGTGGCTGCTAAACTCAGGAGGTCAAAGAACTGAGGTGTCAAAAAGCATTGTGGGGCCAAGGGGTGTATCAGAATGATGGATTATTGAAGAATTACAAGTTGAGGGTAATTTCCCCACTGAACCATCTCTTCAGCACATCTCTTCAACACTGAAATTACTGAAGAGTATTGGATAGTTGTGTGTGTGTGTGTGTATCCCTCAATTTTATTTTTTCTGCTATTTCTTCTCAATTCAATTTGGGCTATATGTTTTTCTGGGATAAGCAATATGTCCATTTGGGGACAGTTCCATGATGGAGCTAGAAAACTGGCTCAATAGTTAAAAGCACTTATTGTTCTTGCAGAGGACCAGGGTTCGTTTCCCAGCATCCACGTGATGGCTAACAAGTATGCATAACTCCAGTTCCAGATCAGGTGCCCTCTTCTGACCTCCATAGGCACCAGGCAAGCCTATGATGCACATGCATACATGTATGCAAAACACTCATACACATAAAATAAAATAATAAGTGAATCTTAAAAAATGTGAAAAGCAACAATTAAAAAAATAAGCACATGATGTTCAGTCTCATTCATGATTATGCTAACTTGGATAGCTTGATAAAGGTAGTATTCACAGGACCAGAAACCCTCTACCAAAGAAGTACTGTTTTGTATCCTCTTAATGAACAGTTGGCAGTAACATGCTTGGAGACTATGTGTATAGTCTATCCTACAAAGTATCTACTGGAATTTGCTTAAAGCAATTGCTTCTGTGGCGGTCACAGAACAGCTATGTTCCAACTCATTCTTTCTATATTTATTAGGACTTGGGTTTTTTAAACACCCCATGTGAAGCCCTATTTTATCTAATAGGGAGATGACACAGCACAAAGATTACAAACAGCTATCTTATGCAAGTTTACATGACAAATGTAACCATTGGCTATACCACTAGTTTAGGAAAATGTGAAGATATATATCTAAGTAATATCAAAATAAAACAGGACTGCTCAGCAAAGTGCTCAGAGAAGGACAAAAGCAGTAGCCATTTTTCTGAAAGAATCATTATTGTGAAGATATCTAATTTATAATGCTATTATATTCTTAATTATCTAAAAAATATAGCTAGGTTAAAGTATCAACATCATTTTCAACTATTTAAAATTTTTCTCATAGGAAATGTGCCCTATGCCACAATCCAGTAGTGATCTTTAATCTTACTTAAAAATATTAAATATCCTGATGACAATTCTGTTTTGTCTCCCTGGTATTAATTACTGATCTGAGTTATATTGCCACATTTGTTATTCAAAGGTCAAAAACAATCAGTATTTTGTCATTTACACTTGCTAAAAGCCTAATAGAATATGAATTGTAATTATATAAATGTTCTGATTTTGGAAAATAACTGGCAACTGGAACTTAGGCACTGCCCTTTATTAATTTGAAACGTGTCTCTCTGTAACAGGATCTTCTAATGATTAACAGGATGCAAACCATAAATATGGCACATTATCTAGTAGAAACTTAAAGCTGGTGGGAAAAAGTCACTTAGATAGATAATATCACATCACTTAAGAGGTATTGAAAGTATTTAGGGTTTTTTGTTGTTGTTTTATTTTTGTTTGTTTGTTTGTTTTTGAGACAGGGTTCTCTGTAGCTTTGGAACCTGTCCTGGAACTAGCTCTTGTAGACCAGGCTGGCCTCAAACTCACAGAGATCCGCCTGCCTCTGCCTCCCAAGTGCTGGGATTAAAGGCGTGGGCCACCACCGCCCGCAAAGGTGGGCTAATCACACAGAAAATAAAGAAAAAAGTGAAAATCCATTTAATTGATATATAGAATACAAATGCTGTTGGAA